TGTAAAGAAAGGAAGAGATTCAGAGGAACTTCGAGGAGTGTTCTTGGGGAGAATTTAGAGATAAGTTATTTACTTGTTATAGCTTCAATGACTTTGATTTTATATATGAATTCTGAGTTTTGTTGTGTTTTCCCCATGAGTTCTGAGTGGTTTTCTCCGTCTTTCTCCTTGTCTCGAGATTTGTGAAATGGTGATTTGAATTGGTGAAGCCATGAAAATGTTTAAGAAATTGTGATGATCTTTTCACTTCGATCTTAATTTACTTTCAATCTGGTCAATTGATTTGTTAAAATATATTGAGTTTAATAACTAAAGTGAAGATTACATTCAAGATTCAGAGAGATCAAAGCCCTTGGAAGTTGGGTGCAAATAAATAAGGAAATATTATTATCGGGCGTAGACTTTGAGATTTTAGAGTGACAAACTAAAATCCCCAATTCGGTCCTATCGTTTGGGTGCTGAAGTGTAGATGTTAGCCCTCAAGTGAGGGGAATGTGGGAGCTCCGAAGTGAGAGTCGGTATCCTCTCAGCCTAGCCGCAGATTTAGTAAACAAGCATAGGATTAGTCAATGTTCTTTATGCCTGGACCAAAGGGTAAAGAATGGGTATGCTCATATTTGGCACAATATAAATTGAACTAATCCATTTTATCCATTCACTATAATTTCTTGACAAGGAGAATGATGCTTTCTTATATATTGAACATCACAATTAAACCCTCCTTTATATCATTAGTTATTTATTAGTTATTAAAATTATCTATTTATTTCAATTGTCTATTAGTGACAGATAAGCAAATTGAACGTCGTTGTTGTGATTAAAGTATTGCTTTTCTAAGGTCTTAGTCCGTAATTCTAAACTACTCTCTGTGGGATCGATATCTAGGACTCCATTAGAGCCTTATATTACTTGAGCGATACATATACTTGCGTTGATAAGTGTGACTTTACAATTATTAAATACTTAATACGTCCATATTTATCTTATATTTTAAGCATATATAAAGTCGTTGTCACTTGCTAGGCATGTCACTGTTATGAATGAAGAGATTTGTCAGATATGTGATCAAATGTGTGAAGGCCAGCTGAGAGTTGGGGAGACTTTAGCATGCCAAATGAAGAGGTTTGCAGATCGTAAGAGCAAGCGACCTATTTTTATTTTTGATTGTCAACATTTATTATGTGTGTAGATGTAGTCATTCATGTACTTAGATTCATATTTGTTAAATTATATTTATTTTCAATGTTTGTACTTGTTAGTGATATAGTTCTCAGTTGTGATGGTACTTGTTTATGATATGGATTCGTTTTGTGCGGATTGTAAAATTTAATCGTTCTTTCATTTATTTATTTTTAAATTTGTGTCAGACTGTGTCGAGATTTTCAACTCTAATTACTATATTTTTTTTGGATATTATTTCATACATTCTGTCATTAATATAATTGCTCTGGTAGACTAAGTCGACGCTAATAAGCACGCCAAGTTGTGTCTACCACATTTTGATGCAAATTTTGATGTTAAATGTTGTGTCGATGTGGACTGCGTTGAATTTTGTTAACAACGACACTTGTGGACGCTAAATTCAACCTAAGTTTTTTATGTCGGGCATTTTCAATGCTAATTGCATTTGCGACCTCAATTTTTTTGTGAACAACAATGATGACGTAAATCCGAGGTGAATCAAGTTTATTAGCGAAATATCTCTATATTAGCGTCAGATTAGTTCAATGTTAATTTGCTATAATCCTAACTCAAAATTACTAACCCAAAGGACTGACCTGAATACTTAGTCAAGCCTAAGTCAAGGTCAAAGAACTTGATCACATCATGATGGCGCCAACAAGGATTGTTTCTAGTATGATGGATTGAAAGCAAAACTTATGTACAGTCAAGTTAAAGCTGAACAAAGCCAAAAAAACCTTATCTGCAATGCTTAAAACCATAGAGTAGTTGCACGGACTCAACACACACCAGCCATGCTCAGCCAATTCGAAGACCAAAGTATCATTTGCTAAGACATAGAAAGAAATACTTCACAATATATATTTCTAGTTATTTTTCTCTATTCCTTTCTTCCTCTTAACACTCCAATTCCAACATGCAACTTAGTTTTGCATGTTGGTTGCGTGTGTAGGCTCTTTATATAAGGTGTATATGATGTGTGATTAAATAAATTCAAAGTCTCAAAGAGAATTAGAAATAACCATGCAAAAATAGTGTATAAAAGGAGTCATCCATGTCATTCATATGGTTGCCCATCATGACATTTCTCACTTTGCATCTTTCAGAGAGAGAGAGAAGCAAAAAAAGCAAAGCCTAACAACCCTCCACTGCCGTTTCATTTTCCATTCAATCATTTAATGAAACCAAAACCTACATGCCCAAGCAAAACTAAACCCAAGTTAGACAATACCAAGCCCAAGCCAACCAAGTTAGACCATACCAACCAAATGTCCCCTCTCTCTCTCTCCCTCGCGCTTTCTCACTTAGGACTAAGCACACAAGAAATTAATGAATAGTAATTCACAGATGTGCTTTGCAATTACTGGCTTCCGTCCTCAACACATCCTCTTCTCTAATCTGTCACAAACATACAAATACTGATATATATATATGTATATATATATAGAAGCCCCCGCCTCTGCACCTTAAGTCTCTCCTCCTCTTATATATAGCTCGCTCCTCCAATCCCTTTCACTCAACTCTCGCTCTCTTTCTCTATCTCCCGTTCAGAAAAGAGAGAAAAGTAGAGAATCGCGAGATGGCACGAGTAAAAGAGTACACGCCCGCCATTGCCATGGTGGCCGTGCAAGCAGGCTACGCCGGGCTCAATATTCTGTCAAAGCTCGCTCTCGAATCCGGCATGAGCCCATTCGTACTGATTGCTTACCGTCAGATCATCGCCACCATCGCCCTCGCTCCCGTCACCTTCTTTCTCGAAAGGTATACACGAATCCAGTAAAAATTTGCAGTCCTGTATACAAATATAGTATATTATCTTGTCTTAATCAAATATCTTCCAAGAACTCAATTCTTTATTTCATTTATTATTTTGTCTTTTTTACTTAATACTTAATTTCTTCATCTCCTTCGTGCCTTCCAACTACCTTGCGTACCCATCGGCAGCTCTTGTATTTTGCAGTTAGTTTAGCACCGCTCCCTCGATACTCTAATCTTTTATTTTCATTTATTTAGAAATTTGTAATTAAGCGGAAATAAAAATGTTGTCTATATATATATCTAAATTTTTAGTCACTTACGATCCATTTATTGCCAAGTGTTTATTCATCGTGAAGCTGGCAAGTTAAAAGCGCTTGGAAAGCAAGCATATTAGCTGTAACATTTATTTGAAGTTTATTCTTTTCATATAATTGCTGTTGTATTAATTAACTCTGTGTGGAATGCTAGGATCAGAATTACGGGACAAATTCTACTTGAAATTTTTATCTGCTCATTTTTCGGGTACGTAAATCGCTTCCTTTTTACCGGAGACGCACTTCGGGCATGAAGGACACCTAACTCGGTAGCTCGGTGAAGTTTTATTGATTATTATTAAATTTTAAATGAATAAGGTGTCATGCAATATGTGTTTGAGGGTAGGGCTGTCATAAAGGCTCGTTGTTCGCGAACAGTGTTAACGAGCCGAACACGAACAATACAAATAAATATTTGTTTGTTCGTGTTCGGCTTGTTTTGGCTTGAAATACTACTAATCAATTTTTGATGAGTAGTATTTTTAAAAAAATTTAACTGATTATAAGGCTACAAAGATTTTTAATCAATTAAAAATATTAATGAAGAAAATAGAATAAAATTTATTAAATTAGATTCAAATGATGTTTTAAATCTTGTATCAATCCTTAACATCTTATGATTACGTGATTAAAGTTGTCAAAATGGCCGAACACGAACACACTTCTTGAGCTCGAAATATAAACGAGCCGAACACGAGCTGAGCCTGATTCGGCTCGTTTACACCCCTATTTGAGGGCGAGAATTTTATGTTTTTATTATGGATACAAATTAAATATATAAGCTGAATAAAACTATTATTATGAATTTCTTTTTGGAAAACGCAATGATGAAAGAATATTATATTTTTGAGGTAAATTTATTTTTAGCAGCTTTCAAAAAAAGGAAAAAAAATGTATTAATAGCAATCTATCTTATCTAACTAGCATTTAACACTTCCCAGCACCATTTGATCACAACTGGAGAAACTTTTAAGAGTAGATTTTTAAATTGTTAAATAATATAAAAGTAATTAGTTAATCTTATTTTATAGTAATCTCTAAATAAATTTAATGACTTTAAAACTAATCATGATTAAGTTTGATAAAAAGATGCTGAGTATTTTATATTTTGTAATCTATGAGCTACAAATTTCTTTCAAGATTAAAAATTTATTGTGTATCCAAATAAAGCACTATTAAGAAAATAAATTATGAAATTTTTAGGACCATAAATTATGCTAAGAAAATACATTTGATAAAAGGAAAATTAATGCAAGGGGAAGAATGCGGGCCACGGATTCGAGCCCGCTCTGCGGCCGCATTTAATAAAAAACGGCAACAACATTTTTGTATGAACAGACCGTACGAAACAAACTGAAGGAAGGCATTTTCAACCAGCAACCACACCCAAAAAAAGTTGCCCCAAATGAGGCCTAAATTAAAAAAGGGCTGCATTAAACATTTATAAAAGGATTTCTATTTCTAATAAAACTAATCCTTTAAATATCTAATTTATTAATTTTCTTAGTGAAAAAATTATAATTTTAAATGAAATTAATATTAATTTTTAAGAAAATATTTAACTTATCTAATTATGAGCAAAGCATCAAAACAAAACAAATTTAAATTTTAAGGTAAAATATAACATCTTTTTTTTTTTTCCAACAAGCAACTTTAATGATGAAAAATTAATATTCTTTACTTTTATTTCTCCAAAACAAAATAAATTATATGATTCATGATATAAAATTTGAATGCAGGGCTACGATGAACCAACTGTTGTACTTCATTGGTCTCAAACACACAAGCTCAACCATTGCATGCGCACTCACCAACATCCTTCCCGCCATGACATTTATCATGGCCATTCCCTTCAGGTAAGCAGCCTTAAGATCGTTCCATTAAGTAATTAATCTCTTAAATCTTATTCAAATTTATACATTTAACACTAATGCTTCAAACATGTATCACCTTTATTAGACATATGCTAAATGTTTAAATATTCTAAACTAAACTAAATTACATATCTAATTATTTATAGGATTGAGACGGCAAATATAAAGAGCAAATCTGGACGGGCAAAGATAATTGGAACTGTCTTCTGTGTTGGCGGATCAATGCTAATGACATTCTATGAAGGAGCACATATTAATTTACCACCTTCCAAGTTTCATTGGCGATATGCGGAGAAAATTATGGAGAGAAGCAGAGAAGCCTCAGGATTAGCTGGTGGTGGATCGTCAGGCAAAGAGATTTTGGGAGCGGTGTTGGTGGTTGGGAGCTGCGCAGCATGGGCGGCTTGGTTCATTGTGCAAGCACATCTGAGCAGGTCATTTTCTGCACCTTATACAACTTCTGTACTAATGTGTGCTATGGCTAGCATTGAATGTTTTCTAGTTGGTGCTGTTGCTGAGAGGAAGTTCAAAAATTGGACTTTGGGCAGTGATATTCGCTTGGCTTCCGTTCTATACATTGTGAGTGCAACATTATTTAACCAATGCTTCGATAAACTAAAGAAACCAAAGTTTATAAATTTAATTGAAATAATGAAAAATAAGTATTACTTTGCTTTCATAAAAAATAAAAATATAATTATATTTTATGAGCAGGGATTGGTGGGTTCTGGATTTGCTGTGTCGCTGATGACATGGGCCATAGAGAAGCGGGGTCCACTTTATGTATCTATGTTCAGTCCAATACTTCTTATTGTTGTTGCCATATTGGACTGGGCTATCCTCAACGAGAAGCTTTATGTAGGCAGGTAATTTTTGCATGTAAATTAAAAATAATAGAATAGAAAAGTATCATTTTGTTTGCATTCTGCAAGGTTTCAGATATTGCAGATTAAAACTTAACAATTTAATTATTATTTGATTTGTTAATCTTTTGATCTTATTTTATGATTTCAGTGCTTTAGGTTCGGTAATTATAGTCATTGGGCTCTACTTAGTTCTTTGGGGAAAAGCAAAAGAGCTCAAAAATGAAGCTTCACATCAGGGAGTCATTGAATCTGAGGAGGCCAGCAAGGTTGAGCAAGTGAGGCTGTCTGGCTATTCTTCTAGTCCCAATGCAAATATGGAGATGAAGGAAGTTCAAACTAAAGAAGTTTGAGGGGTTATTTGCAAATTAAAATAATTAGTTGCTGCAAAGAAAGATTATATCATGAGACCATGAATTTTACTTCAGCCAGTGAGAATGATTCTTTTACTTAACTTGTTAGGATAAAATATTTAGGTACATATGTTTGACAATTAGAGGTTATGTGCACTGTTAAGGTTTTATTTATGTGTGGATTGGCTAATATTAATATAATTTTGATAAAATAATGTATAAGGTGCAATGAATACATGTGTTTGTAGGGCATGAAATTCATGTTTTTAATTGAAATACAAGCTAAATATTTAGATTAGTTTAATCAATTTTTGTATGAATTTCTATTTGGGATACACAATAGCAAAATCAACAACCTTAACAATATTCACTATGTAAATTTAAGTAAAAATATTATATTCTTAAATTAAATTTATGTTTAGCATCTTTCAAAATAATAGTATATTAATATCAATCCCTTTTATTTATGTAACATTTGGCACTTCCGATGGCGAAGCTAGGAATATTTTTTAGTGGGGGCATTGTAATTGCTTGTGATATATGTTAGATAATAATAATAATAATAATAATAGTACTAGACCTATAAAAAATATTGAGAATATGTTTATAAAGTGCCTATGATGATAAGCTATCTTGAATTATTATTCACTTTTAGGAATAATTATATGGTAAAGTTTTCTTATAAAAAATATCTCATGTACAAAATTTTAGCCAGTGCTCATGATTTTTGTGTGTTTTACCTATTCGATTGGTTGAATTTGATAAAGTCAATCATATAAACATTGTAGACAACTTTGTTACCTTATCAGAACATATAAGAACATTAATATTGAATAATAAATAAAAAAAATTTGAACGAAATACTAAAAAGTGATTATTTTATAAAAAATTGTTAATTGTGATTTTTCTCAGTTTTTATAGTTTTTGGTTATCTTACGAAAAAAATTATACAAAGACATTAAAAATAAAGTTATGGAGGATTTTTTTAGGTTTTCAAAACATATAAAAATAAATGATCTGGATATCAAATAAAAAGGTTATAATTGAAATACTAGAAGCCGGTCAGCTTGACATATAAGATCATCTTGGGTTAATTGTTAAGTTTGATTATGTAAGATTAATATAGTTAAAATGGATAAATAAAATTTTTAACACATATATTAATATAAAATCAAGCCTATGTAAAATAATAATACTAAACTTGTTAAAAGATAAAATAAAAGAGAATAGCAAGAGTATGGAGAATGGGCTCATGGATGCATGTGATTAGTTGGAGTTGGTGGTAAGCTAAGAAATAAGGGAAAAGGGATTGGAGTGAATTTCTCTTGAGAAAAATATGAAGTAAAAACTATGTTTAAGTGCCAATTGATCTATTATATTTGTAATTTCATCTCTATAATTTTTATATTGCATGATAAAAGATAAATTAATAATTTATTTATAATTTGATAAGAATACTAAGGATTTTGTGAGAGCATCGTAGTATAGAAACAAACTAGACAATTTATATGAAATGTTTAATACTATATATTCATGCAATGTTAAAAAATCAGCAATTAAAATAAATGTGAACTATACTTTATTACCTTAATACTGTAATTATAAAAATAAACAATTACAAAATAATTTATGAATTGAAATATATGAATATATACCCGTAATCCTACATAGAATTCATTCAAGCTAAAAGCTCTCTTTTAGATTAACCAATTTACACATATATCATTCTTAAAATAAATGTGAAGGCTCCAATATAATTTTGATATTAACATGACATATTCTAATGAGAATATTGACTTATTTAAATAGCATGTTTTGAAATAAATAATGGAGCATAAAAGACATTCTTTAATCATAACTTATTCCATTTACACATATATCATTCTTAAAATAAATGTGAAGCCTCCAATATAATTTTGATATTAACATGAAATATTCTAATGAGAATATTGACTTATATAAATAGCATGTTTTTGAAATAAATAATAGAGCATAAAAGACATTCTTTAATCATAACTTATTCCTTATGCATGTAATGGTATGCATTGTTTGACACTTATGTTCATATGAAATGAAGAATACTATACATATTAAATGGTTAAAGTGCATGTAAAATCAATAGATGGATAACTGAATGATTCGTAGTTGGGAAGATCCCAAGAATCCTTATAGGAGGGCAAACTGATGAGTTTGTCTATGTGATTGAAAGAGAGCGTAGATGGTTGGTTATTTATATGGTGTAAAAAGGCATGGATGATTTTAGATGAGTTTGAAAAACATGTATACATGATACATGATGATTATGATGTTGGTGGCCAATAAGATGATGATTCTATACATGATAAAGTAAACCAACTATTTTACTAGGTTTGTGAAAAAAAAAAATGATTATAATACAAGATAATCAATCTAATCATTGATCTAAAATGTATGTGCTCATGCCCATTTTTATTTTTCTTCTCCTTTGAATGACAAGGAGAAGAAATCCCCTCCCTCTATATTTGCCTTTTCAAAATTTCCCTTTCAAACGGCCCCAACCTATAAAGAGCATTGCTAGAAATAAAACAAATGAAAGTTGAAAGCATAAAGAAAGTCAAATACAAGGGCGGATATGAAGATATTCATTTAAAATGACTCTCATACCATAAATTGGAGAGCTTGGGTCAAAAAAAAAAGAAAAATCAAAACAAACATAACCTGAGAAAAAATACACTGGAGGCCTCATAGAAGACCATTGTATCCAAAAAAGAAGATAAAATGAAATTATTTTGTTCTAAATGCAAAGAGACCTCCCACGATGATGTATATTCGAGGTCAATTACAACCTAGAGGATACCAAGAAAAAACTCACGATAAAAGGTGTTGTGTTTACAAAAAAAGCCTTAAATATAGACTATCAAGGAGATTTTTTAGTTCTTATAGAAGAAATCTCTAGCTGTCAAGGTGAAATTTTGTCACCAAAAATAAGTTGAATCACCATAACGTGGCAGGTAGTTGTTACTGAGCTGAGGAGTTTATGGAACGTTTCCACAAAGACTCCACAAAGAAAATGAAATTTCCCAAAGTGGTTAAGTCAGTAGATATATCAAAGAGAAACATAGATAGGTAGATAGAATGTGGTCAGGGTTCCATAGACTCATATTCCCAAAATATTAGGAATCTAAGTCTATTAAAAAATGAAGATAGTTTAATCAACCTAGCTGGGAACAACTCCAGTAGCAACACATATGTGGTATCTTTTGAGGCAATTTAGCAAACCTAAAATCAATGAAATGAAATGTCTAAAATATGATGACTTTTACTAGCTAGGTTAAAAGGTAAAGTGTGAATTATGGGCAAGAAACTTACACAAAAGAAAGAGGAATGGATAACCTAGCTACAAAACCTACACAACAAAGGACCTATGCCTCATCTAGTCTGAGAGCTTCTAACACCTTTCATATTTTAGACCCGTTCGAATTTTATAAAATAGATGCTTAGCCCAGTAGATTTAGAAGCAAGAGCACTTCTCTCGAGATATATAGCTTGTATGCAATTATATATGATATCCTATGCGTGAAGGCCATATTAATTTGTAAGGGGCGATATAGTCATCTCGTTATGATCATTTTAAAGGCCGAAGACCGGACAAGAAAGTAAATACAATAAATAAAACTGCTGATTTTAAAATCTTGTTAAGTTTTAGTCCTAAATTTTCTTATAGGGGAGCCTTTTATGTTTGACATTTTCAAACAAATATTTTATCCTAAAGTGCCTAGTGTGATCACACAAAGACAAATCACAAGCAATAAGGGAAAAAAGGCTACAAGTTTGATAAAAGAAACACACCAAATAAATAAATAAAAGACAAATGTTGTTGGTCTGGTAATAATAAAAAAAAATTGGTGGTCAAGCTATACATAATACATGTCTGATTCTAAATCTATACAAGAAAGAGATTCATAATTAAGGTATGAGGCAAATTGTACCAATGCAGCAAGCTCCCGAGACTCATGCTCACACCATTTTTTCATATAGATTCTCATAGAAATCTAAGAGTAGATAAGAAAATTCATAATAAAAATTTAACCTACAAAATGAATTTTAGCATAAGTATAGGTATTCATATATAGTAACGTCTGATGGGAGGAGAGCTTAATGGCATCTACATAAAATAAATTGGAAAAGCCTCATGGATGCAAGTTGATCATTATAAGAAAATTTTACCTTAATATACTAATACATGTCTCAAGTCAAATAAAAACACAGTAATATTCAAAATGTGGTGACTAGGAAACACATCAAAAAAATAGTGGTCCTTATCGATGGTGAATCTTTTTGTTTTGTTTTGTGTGAGGGTTAGATATCCAGCATAAGTTTTGGAAGCTTTCTATCTAAATGATTAGATGTGTCATTTTAAGATTAATATACTACCCTGAAGGATATAGATATAACTTTAAAATGGATCTAGTCACTCAAATGAGAAAAAACATTCAAGATTTACGAGTATGCACAACTATGTGGTATTCCCTTACATTATGTTTGTAAGATATGATTTATTTTATTCTGGGTTCTGATATCCCTATGAGGGTAAGCCCTCGTACATTACAGGAAAAAGCACAATAACCAAAAGCAAAATTGATAGTTTAAATTTTCTTCTGTAAAAATATCATATTTTCTGCGATTTTACGATGACTTATGTGTTGAGTTATTTTTGATGACATAACAACAAGAAATACCATTGTTTATGAACAGTAAATTAGTTTTTGATAGTTTTTATTATAACTGATGCATTTCATCATCATTTATAAGCACATAATAACTGAAGATCATATGTCGTTGGTTATTTACAAACATGTCATTTGGCGATGTGTTAACCGACAAGCATTTAGTAACCGAAGGTTAATGCCGTCGGAGGTTAATGCCGTCGGTATTAATATTAATACCCTAGAAATTTGAAGCCATTTGTAAGCCGTCGGAAAGAATTCTTCATATCACCGAAATTTTTTACGCCCCCGAACTTTCTCTAATCCCAAACCCACTTAGTAACTCCCTCTCCCTCATACCCTAACCCTCCCCTCCCGTCTCCCGGTGACTCCAGCGCCCCAACGGATGCAACTCCAGCGACCCAAGCTCCGACAACACACCCCAGCTTTGACGCTCCATCATTAATCTCGACGCTCAAAAGTATGGTTTATGGTTATGTAGAAGTGGATGTTATTAGTAGAATTCAATTCGGTTGGTTGAAGTGGAGGAGTGTTTC